ATATATATATATATATATATATAAGACGCTCACAATTTGACGAGACAATGTGTGTAGGTAGTGAGTAATTGAACTGTAGTCAGAAAGTATTGTTGATGTTAGCGTTCGTTGTTATAGCGTTGTTATAGAGTGACTCTTGAAAATAAGTGTATCGGTAAAGTTATATTCGGAAAGAATAAACCAGTTTTGTTAAGTAAGGACTTGTGTCGCTAAAGTTTCATCGAAACGAAGTTACGGAAAATCAATTAACAAACGGAGATGTAACGATATATATATATATTGTTTAACATGATATTGTTCTAGTAACCATGCCTCTTTCTTAATGATAAATTTGAGACCAAAGCTACTCATAGTACTGTTAATCATGAAAATAACATTTTATTACATAATTAACTTGCATACTCTCTCATGTTAAACTTTATTTCAGACATTAATTTACTTCTTAAGACCTGTCAATGGCAGTTTTGAAATGATAGTACATTGTGACAATAATATTAGAACAAGTTTTTCTTCCTCTCTTTCAGCCTCATATGGGTATGATCTTGTTTCAGTTATTATTTACTAGAATCTATTACACAACAATGTGTGGAAAGCAATATTTTGAATCCATTGTCTGGAAACAATAACAAACCAAAAGAACTTTGAAAAATAATATATTTTTATAGAGGAATGCTCTAAGGTTTTTCTTATCAAGATGCTGATGTGTGTTTCTAAGAGACGTTTTTGGTTAATAGTAGATTTTTTCTTCATTCTAAATAAAGAAAAAATTGCTTTTCATTAATTTTGGTACATTTGGAAGCATTTAATGAAATATGATTAAAAACTTCATAAATGAACTGTTCCTTTCATTCAACTGTTAATTATAAAATTATCAATATCATGTAAATGTGTGCTATCTGTTTTGACATGTAACTTAATTTATGAACTATTTGATATTTTTTATTGATTAAAATAGGGATTGTTCCATGCTTCTCCTTTTTCCTCTTCATTTTGGTGAAATGTTACAATAAAAAAAAGTATAATGTATATGTGTATATCCTAAAACCGTGACTTGTGTCTGTGTATAATTGTCTTAATATTTAAAGTGCAAATGCTAGTTTTAGTCAAATTCAAAACCAGTATTTACTAAGGCTTTTTACAAGTACCTTTGCTGAAGTATTAACCCCTTTGCAACCAGGCGTTTTGTATTCCTAGAAACCATTGAAAGTTGGGACATTTTGTGAAATATCAAGTTTTATGTTTGATTTAGTTATTGCTTATTGTATTGATAAAAGGCCTTACAAGCAGTATATAATTGAATTCAATGTGAAAAATTATTATTAGAGTAAACCCAATGGTCCTGGGAATAAATAGATAAGATAAGCATGGAGTTAATTTGGCATGGAACTCAAATGTTTCTATTCTTAGTGATTTATTAATAATGCTATTGAATACCTTATTAGACATTACACTAGACTGTATGTTTAAATTTAAAATATTAGAATACATTTGAATTATGAGTATGTTGCATGGTTCTGGAGATCATTAAAGAGTATACATGCATGTCAGTGTCAGATTGACATTGAGGATTGTTCTTGTAAATGGATTTGTGTGGTAACTATTGAAAGGTTTGAGTCTAAACTTCTTTGTTTCCAACATACCTGTCTATTAATTGTCATTTTTTAAACTTTTAGAATATAAAAGTTGGGTTAACAG